TGTGGACGGGGCCTCAGTCTTTTTCCTGCTTCACAAAAGTAGGCAGCAGCTTGACATGAAGCCATGATGGCGATCATTTTACATCCAGGTAGGATGCAGTTCTTCATATATACACACACATCAATTTCAAACAGATGGTATGGGCCGATACTGCACAGCCAGGTATCAGGTATCGGTATCGGGACTAAAAATGGCATCGCTGCAACACTAACTGTTCCTCATCTTCTCCACTTCCTGCTAATAAATTACTTTTCTGTATTTAATTTAGATCTTGTACTTTGTTTGTTTCTATATGTGTACATTTTTTTTGGCTCATGAGCGCTCCTCCAACTGCTCATTTCTTTCAGATTAAAATTTAAAATTAAATTTTTTTTTATTCCATATTAAATATGATATGGAATTTTTCATAACATTTGATGTAATTTCCCAGAATGAAGCTTTTTGTTGAAGTTTACCCATTAGTTTAACAGTAGCCTGCAGCCACTGAGGGAAACACCATCAGTTTGGTCATTATTGTTTATAGCAGCTGGAATCTGTTTGTTTCTTTTCACAAAATTAGTTTTTTTTTCTGATTTCAGTCGTAGTATTGGACTGTTTCTAGGTCAGTCCAGCTAAATGCTAGAGAGTGAACGCACACAGATGGATCATGTGACTCTGAACGCTTCATTGAGCCCAAGAAGCTGAGCTCAAACAGTTTGGAAAGTGACTGATTGCTCGTTTATTGGCTTTATGTTTTAGAAAAAGGGAGAAAAGTTGGAAGAAAAACTTCATAAACAAGATTTAAAGCTGAAATTGTGTCCTAACGAACTCTAAGGAGTCAAACTGAGGCTCCTTTAAAGCAGGAATGAAAGGAATAAAAACTAAACTGGGGAAAAATGAGGAATACAGACAGTCTGATTAAAATATAAACCTTTATAGTGGGAGTTTAAAGCCAAATAACAAAATAAACCTGAAAAGTAGCTCCATGCGTCCATAATAACATCCGCTATAAAATATTTATCATTTTTAATCAAATCTGCTGAAAGCCAAACATTATATTTAATGAGCAACAAGCTAAGAAAAACATTTCAAAAATCTGATTTTTGTTTC